CCATTTGAAATGAGAAGACCATTTTAAATGAGAAGACCATTTGATATAAAGGACCATTTGAAATGAGAAGACAATTTGATATAAAGGACCATTTGAAATGAGAAGACCATTTGAAATGAGGAGACAATTTGATATAAAGGACCATTTGAAATGAGAAGACCATTTGAAATGAGAGGACCATTTGAAATGAGAAGACAATTTGATATAAAGGACCATTTGAAATGAGAAGACCATTTGAAATGAGGAGACAATTTGATATAAAGGACCATTTGAAATGAGAAGACCATTTGATATAAAGGACCATTTGAAATGAGAAGACCATTTGAAATGAGAGGACCATTTGAAATGAGAAGACCATTTGATATAAAGGACCATTTGAAATGAGAAGACCATTTGATATAAAGGACCATTTGAAATGAGAAGACCATTTTAAATGAGAAGACCATTTGTAATGGGAAGGCCATTTGAAATGAGAAGACCATTTGATATAAAGGACCATTTGAAATGAGAAGAACATTTGAAATGAGAAGACCATTTGAAATGAGAAGACCATTTGATATAAAGGACCATTTGAAATGAAAAGACCATTTGAAATGAGAAGATCATTTGATATAAAGGACCATTTGAAATGAGAAGGCAATTTGAAATGAGAAGACCATTTGAAATGAGAGGACCATTTGAAATGAGAAGACCATTTGAAATGAGAAGACCATTTGATATAAAGGACCATTTGAAATGAGAGGACCATTTGAAATGAGGGGACCATTTGAAATGAGGAGACCATTTGAAATGAGGGGACCATTTGAAATGAGAAGACCATTTGAAATGAGAAGACCATTTGATATAAAGGACCATTTGAAATGAGAGGACCATTTGAAATGAGAAGACCATTTGAAATGAGAGGACCATTTGAAATGAGAAGACCATTTGAAATGAGAGGACCATTTGAAATGAGAAGACCATTTGAAATGAGAGGACCCTGTCATGAGTAATCTAATATTGTAAAGTAAAATAAAAAAACATGAAAACTAAATGAGAAGACCATCTTAAATAAGAAGACCATTTGAAATGAAAAGACCTTTTGAAAAAGAGAAAACCATTTCAAATGGAAAGACCATGAGAAAATGTGAAAAGCTTGATGGGTTAACACACATTTGTAATTTTGATACCACTGAAAAAGAAAACGTATAGTATGAACATATCAGAATGTGAACACCTTAATTGTGTATGTTATGATATGAGAAAGCATGGTGCTCAAGTGCCTTTAATTAATAATGATGTATAGAATTTTAGTTTAAGTCATTTAGTCTTTATTCTCATTCATCTTGTTTTCAATAAATATGAAGACAGAACAGAGAGGTCTGAAATATTTGCAACTAAATTATTCATACCAGCCAAAGGCTCAAAATGTCCGTCTGCTCATGCTTATTTCACTCCATTTCTCTCTAAAATTTGAATAAAGTTCCAGATCTTCTTGCATTTCTATATAATTTAAAGTATTGACTATGTGCCTGTTTACTTTATTCCTTGCTAATTCCACTCTTTTCTACTCTATTTTGCAGTTTAAAACATGACTCTAGACAATTTATTCATGGCATTCCATTAGTATGTGACATTGAGCCGATTAATCATTGTATCATGAATTATCAATATATACACACAAGTGTCACGTTAATCATGTTTACAATTGCAAATTACCATGAAAAAGAGAGGATTCGACAAGGAATAAACTAAACAGGCACAACGTTCACGCTCTAAATTATATCGAGATCATAAAAAATTTAATAATTCATTCAAAATTTACAAAGAAATAAGGTAAAATTAGGAAAAACAGACAGCAATTCAGGGAAGGGCAGATTTCCTTTCATAATGGAGTTCATTTAATTTAAACAATGGGCCCATTTATGGTATAAGTTATTATCAATTTAGAATAAGGGTATATATAATACTCTTTTATTACTACAACTAGTTCAAGGACGTTTATTGCCTCTGATCATTTTCCCATGGGAGAAAATGGTATTGATTAAGAGGGGACCTATTGACACTAAAGGTATAAGTCCCACTAAAAGGTATAAGTCTCACTAAAAGGTATAAGTCCCACTGCAAGATATAAGTCCCACTACAAGGTATAAGTCCCACTACAAGGTATAAGTCCATCTAAAATGTATAAGTCCCACTGCAAGGTATAAGTCCCACTACAAAGTATAAGTCCATCTAAAAGGTATAAGTCCCACCAAAAGGTATAAGTCCCACTACAAAGTATAAGTCCCACTACAAGGTATAAGTCCCACCAAAAGGTATAAGTCCATCTAAAAGGTATAAGTCCCACTAAAAGGTATAATTTCCACCGAAAGGTATATGCCCCACTAAAACGTATAAGTCATACTAAAAGGTAAAAGTTCCACCGAAAGGTATTAGTCCCACTAAAGGTAAAAAATCCACTGAAAGGTATAAGTCCATCTAAAAGGTATATTATTAAAATCTACATTAATTTTTTAAAATTAACTATTGAACTAAACATTGGTAAATTTTAATCATGAAAATACTCATCATTCAATCTACCTTATAAAGGCAAAACTAAAAAGGTTGGGACTAGTATCAATATTACAGGAAGCACTCCATGGTTGCTAAACACCAATGTCTAGATTTGTTTTCCTCTGTATTTTCAACAGTTTTTCTCTCTTAAATCTAAAAAAACTCGCTCTTTTTCTTGAATTTTCATATACTTTAGACGGTTGATTACTCTTTAATTCATGTCACGATAATTCCACTTTTTCTACTAAATTTTCAATTTCATATCATGACAGCTTTGGAATTTTTTTCATTGGGAAACTATTTGTTATGGAAGTATCGTAGATTATCATCAAAGGAAAAGCAAGTGATTTCTTCGTTTGATGTAATTCCATTTCCCAGAATTGTACAACTTCGTGATAAAAAACAACCAGTCGTAATTGTTAAGTAAAGGTTAGAAACAAAATTTATTTATTTAATTCAACATCTGAATAGAATTAAAGGTATCTTTAAACCTTGTTTAAATTAGACATCATGACTTTCAAGCCAATATGTCACAGTGATCAGAAAAATTATGGCGGTCATATTTTAAAATGCAAAATTGAGCTTGAAAGAGAGGAAATAGCAAGGATTAAAGTAAATAAACATGAAGAAGGTATGCTGAATTGTATAGAAATGTAAGAAAATTAAACACTTTATTCAAATTTTAGAGAGAACTAGCACAAAATGTGCAAAGCAGACGGACAATTTCAAAAAGCATTATAACGACAGGCAAGTAGCTGTCAACATAGGCGCCATGTATCAAATGATACTTAAGAGTTACTTCACTATACATCCTCAAAAATATCCCTGTAATATTTCCATGTGATTACTCAAGGAAATATATACTTGATAATCTATGATACTGCCAGTGGAGGCCTATAAGGGGGTTCTATGTATTCAGACATTGTGTCACCCCCTCCTCCTTTACTACCAGAAGTAGACAGACAGTTTTGACAGGTTTTCTCCAGCAGAAAACTGAATACCCAAGAAGAGACAAGTCGTACTTGCAAGGCTCTGTCTTAAACATACAAGGCATTAACATGTAAAATGTCACCAGCTGCCATTTGTTACAGAGCTCGACCACTGAAAACCAATTGCTGAAAACTGACCACTGAAAACTGACCACTGAACACCAACCACTGCCATCCACAAAAAAAGTTAAATTAGACATCATCACTAGAAGTGTAAAAGCAGAATACATTGTGAACCAGATGATTGTATCACTCTGACTAACAGAGGCAATTTTAGTTTTAATTTGAAAAGTATTGGAAAAGTGGAATAAATTATAAAATCTATATTTTGTATTTATTTTCAAAGATTTGTATCCAAGTCCTTTGATGGTGCTCTAAAATATTTCTTTAAGTTTTCTTTATTTATTAGTTTTTGCATAAAAAGTTATTTATCTTTCATTTCCAGGTTATAATTATGGATATTAATGCAAAATCAGCATTTAATGACAATGTAACATTGACACCTGTTACAAAAAATATCACGATGGACATGTTTTGAAAAGCAAATTATAGAGGAAAAGAGTGAAATCAGCAAGGTATAAAGTAAACAGGCATGTAGTTAACACTCTAAATTGTATAGAAATGCAAGAAAATCTGACACTTTATTCAAATTTTAGAGAGAAATGGAATGAAATGAGCATGAGCAGACGGATATTCCAACAACTGGGAAATAATGAAGTAATATCAGCAGATCATGAATCTATTCTATACAATTGTATTTATTCCATTTTAATTAAAGAATAAGTTGTTTTTTAAATAAAATAATCCATATGAGCGTAACCATGAGAAATAAATGCCTTTATTAAACTAAAGAAAATGAAGACAATGTAAGATAAGATGATGGTTACTTAGACATTTCAAACTTATCTTGTAACTCAAAGATTAATGTTATGGAATTGCACTTATTGAGGAATAATGAATTGTAAATTGAGATTGTTTATGGTATAAAGAATCTACATATTATTTAAAACAAACAAACGAGTACTAATCCGTACACATAATGCACTTAGGGTGGAGCCTGGGTACATTATCAGGGTGGGTTTTAGTTCATGGGTAAATTCTTTTAGATCCTAAATAAAGAACAATCAAATGAAGAATGGAACAGGGTTCTTTATTTGAATTTAAACAGTTGTCAATCCTTTCTAAAAATTATATTTTCCAATTCTTTCTGAAACCATAATGCACTGTAACATTGTCACCAATAACAGCGATGCTTAAGTTCTGCACAGTGCACTGCAAACTGTTTCTGTTCAATTGACCATGAACCTTGAATTAAAGCACTGAAATAATCTAAGCTGATTGGCTAAGCCACACATTTAGATGTGTAATCATGCACAAGTGTCAATCATCAGAGTCAATTAACAAAAAATTAAGCTGAGTTCATTTGAAAACTGATCAATGGGATATTGTCAAAGTATGGGATAAATTTATACTCACCTCATCTTGAGAATCTGTCCCCACGCTTTTACGCTTCTTACACCACCACCCGCTATCTTGTGCGTAGGACATTACTACCATAATTGGGAAGAACGCTAATGTGACGAATGCTTCCCAAGGTTCGATGATCTGTGGACTCACCCACTGAAGCACGATTAACATCCAAAAATAGGCAAATATTGACCAGACTGCCGTGATACAAAATACCCCAATTTCCTTTATCGGTTTCACCTGCGGACTTGGCACGCTTACTATACATATTCCTGTGATTATCAACAAGTTGAACGCAGCACTCCCAATGATGGTAAACGTCCCCAATCCGTCACCTACATTTGGGTTCCCTATTTGATTGAGATTCTGAAGTGTTTCACCAACTGCGATTAAAATCTCCGGAGCACTACTTCCGAGCGCCATGAGAGTCAAATTTGCGACAGTTTCATTCCAGACTAAAACTTCCCGTTCAACTTTCTGTTGGGTTTCTTCATCGAAACGGATAACTTTCTTTTTCTTTGAAGTTATAGCCTCAATACTACACATGAACAGGTCACTCGAGATAGCAATTCCCATAAAAAGGTATATCATCGCTAGTAAATATAAGAACGCCCGAAGGCCTGCCGGCCACAGGTTCTCAGCCGGTATGAACAGCAACCAGCTGGCACAGGGGGTAGCGTTAAGGGGAACATATTCCACTACATACCCACTACTATAATTGGTTCTATAATTCCAAGACATTGTGCCGATTTTTTTAAATCCAACTTCTGGTTTTTAGATGCACGATTAATTCGCCATGATGTCCAAATATGGAGTGTTGTTATATATTTCTAGATCCATTTTCTTTAGACTGTTTCCATATATATCTGTTTGTATCATCTGAAATCAGAAAAACATAGATTGTTATAACGTGTCATTTAAGTCCATATATTTTGTTACTAAGGTAACATACGTCAGACACAGGTTGGGTTAACATGACAAAGTGCCATTTTCAATCCACATTAAGTCACTAATTGCTAATGCTGAACCCTGGGACTTATCCTCGAGAGATAAAAAATATATATAATAATGTAACAAAAAATTATATATATCTACACGATAGATGAAGCTCTCTTTTAAGAAGCCAAACAGATGCAACGGGTTACTAGAGCTGCCGATCTTCAACAAATGTCAGTTTTCTTTTTGTGATAAATATCTCCATTTGTTGCATGGTAATATGAATTAAAATATTTCCAGAAATACAAAATTGGTAAATTCACATGCCATGTTCACTTAAATCCTGACAGGCCAATTGCGCATTGCAGGGATCAAATTAGACTCAATTTCATGATATTTTATTTTTGACTTCCTGATCAAGGTGAATGAGAACTCTAAATGCTTCAAGGTAGTTCTGCACTTTCGCAAACAATTTTGAAAAAACAAATTTCGATTTAAATAGATGTATTATACCACTAAATACATCACAAACATTGAAAAAATATACAAACAATAATATTGCAATACCCCTTTAATTTCTAAATCAGATATGTTTCTGATCAAAAACAACCTACAAATGAAGCTAGGACACTTCAAGGTATATCAATATGAGATGAAATTTTAAAAAAATGACACCTTGAAATGTGACACCCTGAGGCATGACACACTGATAAGCATCAAGCTGCGTCTATTTATTAATTTCCAAGCAATAACTATTATGAAACTATTGAAGCAGATGAATGAATTCAGCATTTACCTCAAATCAATAGATGAATACAGATCTTATTTGAATAATCATGCGTTCAGATGAAATCAGCTATAATAATATCAATTTACATCAAATAATATATATTAATCAAATACTAATGTTTCCTTCTCAAAATTTATTCTTGGAATTTTGCAAGTCAGTTTTTTTATTTCTTGGAAAATTTACTCTTTTCTATACTTAAACAGGTATTTCCCGATGAGTTATTCAGTTAATTATTATAATTAATGAATCTTTTATATGATATATTCGAATCCAATGACAGTACTTACATGTAGCTAATATATAAATAAAACATCCACTATATATACTGCGATTTAGTACTAAATTTGAAGTATTTAGTGTCCTCCATTTTGATCTCGCAGATGGTGAATGTTATAACATGCGTTTCGTATAAGGTCTATCAAATCGCTCATTGGGACCATTCAACTCTTCCCTAAGCCTTAGCTACACAAAACAAATCAAAATCCTCCCATCCATAAAATCTCAGACTGGGGATAGATTGCATTCTTTATTTTTGATTTTCTTAAAATAAAAGAATTCTACTGGATTTCTGAATGAGATGATTATCGTTTCATACTACTATAATTTTTTCATGGCAACTTAATTTTTCATATATTCCCTATATATCTACAATAATAATTTAAGGAAGAATTAATGTGAGGGTATTACAGGTAATTTTTCTATAGGAAACTCTATGTAGAAAGTGGCTTATTCCAATAGTCGTCGCTAATATTATACCTCTGTTCCTTTTCATTTTACGTTTACTCTCAAAATTTGAACAAACTACATCAATATTTAATGTTGCTTTATACTTCTCACATTGTTACATTGATGTTTTCTCACTCTATTCCTTGCTTATTTCACTCTTTAAAATCTTTTTTATGCTTGAAAATATTCCCATCATGACATTTTATACATGGGCAATGTCTTTGATTTGGCACTGAGCTTTTCATACAAATTCTCCCAATTATCCCTCGAATGAAAACTAAAGAGTCATGTTTTAAAACATGAAAAAGAGAGGAATGTAAACTGCTAAGCAAGAAATATAATGAACAGACATGTAGCCAATGCTCCAAATCATACAAAAACACCAAAAAATCAGATACTTTATTCAAATTTTAAAGAGAAATAGCGTAAAATTTGCATGAGCAGACGGATTTTGAATAGCGAACAATTTCTTTCAATAAATAGAGAGTAACTAGATGAAGTGAAATTTCATACTTTGACAACCAGGTATTGTTTGAAACAAAACAAACAAACAAAAAAACAACAAATGTCAAAAACAGTGACAATAGCAAACATAATTCTGTAAAAATCATAATGCGATAATTATTTTGTTGATGGATAAAATAACATTCATGATTGCATCCATAACTTAAATTTTATATCCAAAGACATATTTTGAACAAAGTCAAGACCAACCAATATTGATGTAATTCCTTTTAATCCATTGTCAATCTCTTTGTTAATCTGCGTTAATCCATTAACCCTTGAACGACCCAACAAAGGTTAAGCTCCTTATATGAGCATACAACTACGTCATAAGCCACCAGATTTTAAAGCATGGAAACATAATTGAAACACAGTCAAATAAGAAATCAATGGTTTTGTAAACATGGATTATATACACAAAATCGAAGTTTACTAATGTTTACCTTTATGAACTTTAAAATGATTTGAGAAAGTCCATTGTACAATATCTAAAATACCAGTTTGATCATTGTACATGTAGTTGAATAGTTTGGAGTTGAATGACTGAAACTTATTATAGTGCAAGGAAATGAAAATATAAGTGTTTCAAACCTAAACTTAAGAATTGGCAGCCCAAAACTGTCTTATATTGCCCTAAATAGCAGTCATCATAAGTACAATATTGCCCTAAATGACAATAACTATACTGCTTTAATATTGCCCTAAATAGCAGTTACCATTGGTACAATATTGCCCTCAATGACAATAACTACTGCTTTAATATTGCCCTAAATAGCAGTCATCATTAGTACAATATTGCCCTCAATAACAATAACTACTGCTTTAATATTGTCCTAAATAGCAGTCACCATTGGTACAATATTGCCCTCAATGACAATAACTACTGCTTTAATATTGCCCTGAATAGCAGTCATCATTGGTACAATATTGCCCTCAATGACAATAACTACTGCTTTAATATTGCCCTTAATAGCAGTCACCATTGGTACAATATTGCCCTCAATGACAATAACTACTGCTTTAATATTGCCCTAAATAGCAGTCACCATTGGTACAATATTGCCCTCAATGACAATAACTATACTGCTTTAATATTGCCCTAAATAGCAGTCATCATTGGTACAATATTGCCCTCAATGGCAATAACTATACTGCTTTAATATTGCCCTAAATAGCAGTCATCATTGGTACAATATTGCCCTCAATGACAATAACTACTGCTTTAATATTGCCCTAAATAGCAGTCATCATTGGTACAATATTGCCCTCAATGACAATAACGACTGAAATAATATTGTCCTAAATAGCAGTCACCATTGGTACAATATTGCCCTCAATGACAATAACTACTGAAATAATATTGCTCTAAATAGCAGTCACCATGTGAAACATGTAGATAATCTTTAAAACAAGATCTGGGGAAAATTGATGTTCAGTGTGTGACAAAAATGCCACTGTGGCAGAAAAATATTTGAGACATTTTATACCTTACACCTTATGTTTGGAGGAGTCTTATACACTGTGCCATATATTTAACGTTTTAAGGAGTAATACCTTATGTTAGGAGAGTGTTATACAAGTTTTGAAGCCTCTATATGATTAAAGGAATCTTAAAACTTGTTTTGAGGAGTCTTATACCTTATAATTTTAGAAGTCTTACACTGTATTGAGGAGTCTTATAAATTATGTTTAAATAAGTATTATAACTTATGTTTTAATAAAAAGTCTTTCATCTTATGATTTGAGGAGTTTTATACCTTATGATTTGAGGAGTCTTATACCTTATAATTTTAGGAGTCTTACACTGTATTGAGGAGTCTTATAAATAATGTTTTAATAAGTATTATAACTTATTTTTTAATAAAAAGTCTTTCATCTTATGTTTTGAGGAGTCTTATACCTTATGGCTTGATGAGTCTTATACCTTATGTTTTGACGAGTCTTATACCTTATGTTTTGATGAGTCTTATACTTTATGTTTTGAGAAGCCAGAAGCCTTATGTTTTGATGAGTCTTATACCTTATGTTTTGATGAGTCTTATACCTTATGTTTTGAGGAGTCTTATACCTTATAATTTTAGGAGTCTTACACTGTATTGAGGAGTCTTATAAATTATGTTTTAATAAGTATTATAACTTATGTTTTAATAAAAAGTCTTTCATCTTATGTTTTGAGGAGTCTTATACCTTATGTTTTGATGAGTCTTATACCTTATGTTTTGACGAGTCTTATACCTTATGTTTTGAGGAGTCTTATACCTTATGTTTTGATGACTATTATACCTTATGTTTTAAAAGACTAATATCTTATGTTTTGACGAGTCTTATAACTTTTATTTTGAGAAGACAGAAGTCTTATGTTTTGACGAGTCTTATACCTTATGTTTTGACGAGTCTTATACCTTAAACCATAACATCGCATAGATCAGAAAACCATCTTAGCAGATGTATAAACAAATGTACAATGAATATAACTGTGGAAAACACACGGTCATTGAATCTATAAATACAGCTTTATCAATAATTTAATAAGTGTGTGGCTCTCATAAAAATGATTAATTTCAGTGTTTTAATAAATATGCTTCAAATTGGTTAAGCCTATTAGCTATAATATATAATCCTTTGTGACATATCACACTTCTATCATTGATAAGTTTTAGTAATACATATTATTAAGTTTCTGAAGCCTCCCACACCATATTTTTAGTAATACATATTATTAAGTTTCTGAAGCCTCCCAAACCATCATATTATACACTTTCTTTACCTTTTGTCAAAAAATCTGTGTTTGCTAGAGGGGACAATACTAAATGTTTTTAGTCTTATTTGAATATCTGAGAGAAAAAATATATGGATATCAATTTTTGTAAGGGAAATTTAATTAAGATCTCCATATGACAATACATCTACTAGATATAGTATATAATGTGCCATGCAAGAATATGTGTTTAATTGATTATAAAAATCAAGTGTCATGGTGATAACATTTTGAAACAGAAAATAGAAAACGTGTTACTAAGTGGTATGTCAGTAGAACAATTAACCCATCCATACGCAAAAGTCAGATAAGCCAGGTTTCACTGTATATTGATTTACAGGTTGTTGGGTGTATGCTCAATTTCATTCATTTCTCATTTTATAAGATTTTGATTGTGTGGATGGTTAAAATGCCTACTCTAGAAACAAGCTCTTGTTAGTCCCCCCCCCCCCCATGAGATCCAGTCTAGGAGCAAGACTACAAAATGCCCAATGAAGTCTCCCCCCTCACTTAAAATTCTTCACATTCACACTCAAAGTTTATGCTTCATTCGAGATTATTAAGATCTTGAGGAATATACAGAGTATAATATCCACATTATGGATTCAGGTTAAATTAATTATCTCTAGATTTTTTCATTCTAATAAACATGATAAAGACACTGCCATTTTACTTCCAATAAAGGTTTCATGAACTTAATAGAGCAGAGAGAAACACCTTCAATTGAAATAACACCTTTTCATGTTTTTTCACTCAATTTCTCCACTAAATTCAAACAAAATGTATAAGTTGCCAGCATTTCTATACAATTTAAAGTGTAAGCTACACATATGTTTAATTCACTCATTTCAAATTTCACTATATTTCACTTTATTTTCAGTTTTAAAACACGGCTGTCATGATATTATTTGTATGAGCTAGACAGAGTGAGATTAAAACTGTGATGAATTAATGAATGTCTTAATAACATTTTTATTTGAGTTATTTAATATGGCACTTTGTTTTGTCAGTTGATGGGAAACGGAATAACAATTAGAAAAATAAAAAGAAACTGCAGAATGTTCAATACGTTCTAGGAAATTATACATGGAACAGTTTTATTGATAGTTATTGAACAACCAAAAGTTATTGCATGAAGATAAAATAGCAAAGCATGAAACAGAGATAAAATGATATGGAAAAATTGTAACAAATGATCATTAAATGTGTTTTTACAATTCCAACATGATATCTCAAAAAGATCCATAAGATAGAACAATAGCTGAAGATAATGGTTTTCTGTCCTACAAATGAATTCTTATTTCTGAGAAAATTTATTTCTTGGGTGAACACCATTTTCCCTATTCTGATCACTTATTTCAAGTGAACATATGCTTTTCAAACATTTATCTCTAATTTCTAAGTGTGGTGACTATATGGTTATTCTATATGT